TTTATTCTCTGCAGAGGATATAGTTACAAACTGAGCCCATTGTTATTTTAAGCTCTCATGCAAAGGTGCTGCTCCATGGTTACACTGCAGGCTCAGATCACTGAGTCTTCACATAGGCAATGAACACAGAGTGTGAGCTGAAATTGCTGACAGCAGCACCATGAAATTACACCATGCTGGACTGCTAGAGCAAGAAGTCAAGGCATTCTTGGGCACAGTAAGCAGAGGCATGAGAAAGAAGAGAAAGGTAGGCAGAATTCACAGAGCAATTAGGAAAAATCAGTCTACGAAGAGTACATGACAAGTTCAGCAATAGAGGCTGGACTGACATTCCAGGCAGTCAGGCAGTGTGGAGATACATTCTGATGAAGTCCACAAGAAAGCTATTATGATACAAAAGCGACAACCTCTACCTTTTGGTGAACCTTATTATGCCTTGTTCACAAAGGACCCTTAAAGAAGGTCCTCAAGATGCATGCTACCATCATGCTATGCAGACCCAGGATGGACAAACAGGACCCTCTGTCAAGTTATTCGCCGTCAGGTCAATCACATCGAGCTCTTAGGATATGGAGAAAATCACTTCTCTGTGCTATGTCAGGATGGCACAACTTAACTTACCTACCAAATGGAGTTTTGCAAAGGGAAATTTGTTTAATCCTGAAATACACCTGCATGCAGTAGCGATCAAAGGCATAAAAATGAAATGTATTTAGTCTGCAAATGTGAAAGCTAGCATAGCATTTTGAACCAGGCAGCATGAAATTGGAACACGGCTGGAAGAATAAGAGAGAGAAAGGAATTATACGGGAGAAAAATTCAGAAACGGAGTAGGAACAGAGGAGAAATTTAGATGTTATTTGCTGGAACCAATCTAGATCAGGGTCTGCAGGTGGCAGCAGTGGGAGCTTCTGCACGCTCCCGATCTACGGGATGGTCACTGTGTTTTCCTCGGGTGCAGGTAGTATTTGCCTGCACCATTAATCACTGCCATAGTAATTAATCACTGCAAGGAGTCTGTTGTGTGTTGGTGGATCTTTTGCTTTGTTTATTTGTTTAATGTGTCTAATAATTTTCTTCCAGACAGGGCACCAAACAAACCCAGTTGCGCATACAGATGCCTGCCACAAACTAATACACTAACCATCCAGCCCCAGGCATGAAGTAGCTGCCTGGACAGAAATGGAATTCTCAAAGGCATAGGCAAACCTTTGCTTTATTGTTAACCCAAAATGATACTGATTTTAATTAACTTGATCTCATTTCTGTGAGAGGAATGTGATGCAGGTAGTATAAGAGAAAGGAGTTAAAAGACAACTCCGGAATTCAGCCTAAGTTTTTAAATCTAGTGGGAAAAAAAGAGGTCTATTTGAATAAGCCTTTTCTAGACACAGGGAAATTCAATATTGTTGCTACCGAAAAATAAACCAAGTAATCTCTTACATCTCTGTCAGTCTGCAACAGTGATCACTTTCATTACAGAGCAGCATCCACATGCTGCAGGTTTCACTTCTGCAACACTTGCTCCTAAACGAATGGCTAAACCATGCTAACCTTACCCTCCCATACATATACTGATCAATTATACTTTCGTTAGCTAGGCCTGCAGTGAGGGAACAAAAATCTGACGGTTTGATGATTCATTGATTAGAAACAGCAAGAAACCAAGCATGTTCTCTTTTTATCATTTTTTCTTCCTGCTTGTATATATGATCAACAACAAGACTTGTGTTAAGCCAGAAGGAAAATATGTTAAGATAAAACGTTGATTTCTCATTTCAAGAATGCTGCTGCTGGTAGCCCTGCAGCTGGCCATGACACTGAACCTCACCACCTGAAGCACAGTAACATACCTCCAAGGTGACTGAGCAGAACACCTTCCAGGGAGGAACGATTCCTCCCTCCTGGCTGAAAGAAAAGGAGGTTTTGCATTACGACAGTGCTCTGCTGTGTGAAAGACCTTTTCATTTCGCTCAGGTTTGGTCACTGTGGAAAGATCCAGTCCCAGCTAGGTGCTAGTGTTAAGGGTCAGCACCACTGGCAATCTCAGTGTGCAGAGTGGCAGCAGCTCGGCCGCTGCACTCTGGGTGCAAGAAGTGGAGCTGGGAAACAGCAGCTGCTGTTTGAGGAGGAGCTAATAGGAGCCATGCAAACAGGCAGCACCGTGAAGATCTCAAAGCTGTACCCAGTGTGCATTTGAGCAGTTCTCGTTGGCCAGATGTCTGCCCTTCCTGATTGAGTGCTTTCCCCTTATGCTTTCCCACCCACTGGACGACTGCTCATGGAGCCTGGGGGCACTGCTCAGCTCCTGTCTGCAGCCTCCGCTGCTCCCATAGGTGCCACAGAACACACCCAAGATCCAGACCTGCCCACAGCAAAAATGGATCAGCACAGGCAATGCAACACCAGAATATGCATATTTCCCCTGTCCACATACCATGCTGTGGCTGCAAGTGGGTGAGCCTCAATCTGCCTTAGGGCACATGGCTTCAGAAGCAGAGCCGCAGGATATGGGTAGCCAAGCAGAAAGCAGAGAGAATGTAGCAGAGCAACTTTTGCTTAAGTTATTGAGGCTTCACAAGTAGAAATAAGGTCAAATAAAAAATAAAAAGTTTCATTTAAATGAAAAAAAAAGAAGAAGAAGAAGAAGAAGAAGAAGCTGTGCTGGTTTAGGGAGAAACTGTGACAAAAACAAATATTTACCTTACTGTGGTCAGCATCAGAGTCAAAAATAGAAAGCATTATTGAAGAAAGAGCATGTTAAACACTGAAGTGCTTGACTGATGTTACATTTCCCACCATTACTTTAAGAGAGAGCTATTATTTTCCATTTCTCCTGTTTGATCAGATGTTGTGGTTTAACCCGGCAGGTTGCCAAATGCCACACAGTCATTTGCTCACTCCCCTGTGCTTCTCAACGGTATGGGGAAGAGATTTGGGGAAAAAGCAAAGTAGAAATCATGGGTTGAACTAGAACAATTTACTAAGATAGATAAAAGGATAACAGTAATGACCACATGTATTACATGAATGTATACAACAAGTGATGGACCCCCCCATCCAATGTCCAGCTAGCCCCCAAGCAGCAGAAGAGACTGAGATGAATTCCCACCCCCTTCAAAACTCCTTCCACGTGATGCCATACGATATGGAATGTCCCTTTGGCTAGTTTAAGTCAGCTGTCCTGCTTCTGTTCCTTCCCAGCAACTTGGGCCCTTTGCTGAGAATGGCCTTGGCTCAGCAGGACACTGCCAACATTGGTGTGTTATCAACAGTGTTTTTCTCCTAGAACCAAGACACAGCATCATACCAAACAGTATGAGGAAGTCAGTTGTCCCAGCTGAAACTAAAACATCAGATCAGCAAGCACATCTGCATTTCCCCTGCCATAAAAGGCATTATCTGTGAATTAAAGTGCATGCAAGTTTTGTACACAATTTTTTAATATTTCTTTATTCCTTAGGAATATTTAGTGACTATTTTTTCTCCAGACTGGGCTACATAATACATCTGAAAAATCTTTTCAATGACACTACATTTCACACTCCTTGTCTCTCATCAAACAGAATCTGCCAGGCCCATCCCCCAATACTTTTCCTTCACAATGCCAAATGCAGTGAATGCTTGGAAGGGGCACTAAAACTCCCTGAGTGCCTCTCAGAGGGCTTTCTTCCCTGTGTGTTCCTGCAGCTCCAGTTTCACCCTCAAAGGACAACCACTGCTTCTTATTTATCCATAATAATTTCATACTGGGATTGCCTGAGGCTCTGATTATCCTGCATCCCCTGGTTAGGTGTAACGATCACACTGACAGACATCCACCATTCTGCCATTCACACACATCAAGACATTTTGCATTTGCTGTAGCACAGCTGCCAGTTTGCCTTGTGCAAATCACAGCCCTCTGAGGCTGTGCTGTGCAGTTAAGTCAGAAGAATCACAGAATCACAGAATGGTTTGTGCTGGAAGGGACTTTTAATATCCCCTAGTTCCAACCCCCTGCTGTAAGCAGAGACGCCTCCCACCACACCAGGTTGCTCACAGCCCCATCCAGCCTGGCCTTGAGCGTTTCCAGGGACGGGGCATTCACAACCTCATTGGGCAACCTGTTCCAGTGTCTCACCACCCTCACAGTGAAGAATTTCTTCCTAATATCTAGGCTACATCTTCCCTCTGACAGCTTAGGGCCACTTCCCCTCACCCTGTCGCTATCTGCCCTTAAAAAAGTCCCTCCCCAGCTTTCCTGTAGTCCCCTTCAGGTCCTCCCGGAGCCTTCTCCTCTTTAGGCTGAAGAGCCCCAGCTCTCTCAGTCTGTCCTTATAGGGGAGGTGCTCCAGCCCTTTGATCATCTTTGTGATCCTCCTCCAGACCTGCTCCAACAGCTCCATGTCCTTCTTGTGTTGGGGGCTCCTAAACCAGCCCTGTCTCAGTTTCAGACCATTCCGCCTTATCTTATCACTATCCACACTCATTACAGCTGTACTCCCTCCCGTTTATACGCTCCCTTCAAGTACTGGAAGGCCACAATGAGGTCTCCCCGCAGCCTTCTCTTCTCCAAGCTAAACAAGCCCAGTTCCCCCAACCTTTCCCTGTAGTCAGGTGCTCCAGCGCTCCGACCATCCTAGTGCCTCCTCCTCCTGCCCCGCTCCAAGAGCTCCACGCAATTCCCGCTCCTTACAGCCTCCCAGACGCCACCCCACTTCACCGCTGTATCCAGGCGTCGCAGCCCGGCTCGGTGCCCGTCCCACACCTCAGCACCCGACCCACGCCTGGCCGCACGTCTGTCAGCGCCTCTCCCCGCCGATCCGACGTGCGACTGCCGGCTCGCGGCTGCCGCCGGCGCGGCGCCTCCCCCCGCACGGAACCCGTCCGGCCGGTCTGGCGGCGGGCGGAGCGGCGGCCGTCGGGGCACGAGCGGTCGCTGAGCGGGCGGGGGGGCCGGGAGCCGCGCACAGGTGGTGCGGGCGGGCGGTGCCGAAACTCGGGGCGGGGGCCGGGGGTCGGGGGCTGATACCCGTCGGATCAGGCGAGGCGTTGTGCGCTTTGCGTTGCGGTGAGGTGTGCGGGAGCGCGAGCGGACCTGGGGCTGGGGGCGGCGGGGAGGGAGGGAAGGAGGAGGGAGGGTGGGTGAAGCAAGAGAACCGAACCGCGTGGCTTGGGCAAATCGTTTTGTTGTGTTTTTTTCCCTTTTTATTTTTTTTCTTTTTTTTTTCTTTTTTCTTTTTTTCTTTCTTTTTTTTTTTTTTAATCCCTTCAGGACACCCGAACCTGAAGGCCGTGTGTTTTGTTGTTGTGCCGTTTAAAAACGTGAATGTCTGCACTTGCTCGCTCAGGAACGCCGTGCGAGGCGATGCGGAGCCGTGTCCCACAGCCGGACGTCGACCTGGCCGCACCGTCCGCGCTCTGAGCTGCGCACCGAGGGAAGGACGGGTGGGTGCTGCGGGTCCCGCTGCCTGCACCGCGTCTGTGGGTGGGTTTCTTTCCTCGTGTGTTCCTGAGGAAAACAACCTTAGTGGTTGTGGGTAATTACCCGTTAGTTCGTGTTTGTTCAGCCTTCAGAGCGGTTACAGGAGTCCATGTTAAGAAACTGTCGTGGTTCTGTAGCAGAGTGCTGGAGGTTACTCGTGAGGCTGGAACAGCTGCCCAGAGCTGTGGATGCCCCGTCCATCCCTGGAGGTGTTCAAGGCCAGGTTGGATGGGGCCCTGGGCAGCCTGGGCTGCTCTGAAATGTGGAGGTTGGTGGCTCTGCATGCAGCAAGGGGTTGGAGATTCATGATCCTTGAGGTCCCTCCCAATCCTGGCCATTCTGTACTTCTATGAGGCTCATCAGGCTGCTGGCAGATGGAAAAAGCCTTGTGATGGACACGAATCTGCATCTCAGCCCTACTGCCTGCTGCTTTGTTTCCATAGCATCCCTCCTCTGGAGGCCTAAGTACAGCGGTGTTAAATGGACTGGCACACGAGGTGGCCTTCCACTGAGCGAATGTCAGCAGAGGCACTGAAACTGCAGGCACAGCGTGTGGTGCTCCTGGCAGCAGCCGTGGTGCCTTCGCTCAGTGCGTGACAGGCAGTGGGTGCTGCAGCTGCAGGGAGCCCAGGGGCTGGGCATGTTGGTGGGGCTGCTAACAAACCTCATTGCCATGTGTTCCTTAACTCTGTAATTGTCTCTAGATAACGTGGGTTTAATTCCCTGCTTAAGGTGTCTTTGTAAGCTCAGATTTACTCACAGTTTTCTGCTTGGATCTGTTTGGTTCTGTTTTATTTTATTTGGCTTTCTTTTCTGAGACTGATTCAAACGTCGAGGGGTGTTTGGTCTGTGTCTTTCTCCACCATTCTCTGCACTGATATTACTGAAGTTCACCTCAGCGTATAGTTGCTTTTGCATCTGTCCCAAACCTGTGTTTGTCCCTTTGTTAGTCTGCAGGTAATGCAAAGCCCTGTAACTTGTTTTCTTCATTCACAGCCTGTGATGTTGAATTCAACAAGCCACTTGCTTGCTTTGCATTGAAGTCCTCTATTTAAATTAGTTAGAATTAATTTTCCATCTTCTTTTGTTGCTGTGGCTTTTATTTTAACATCACTGGTGTTCATACTGGGCTTGATGTAATGAGCTACCTGCATTTAGATACTGGGAGAGGTTTGATTGATTTTGTTTTCATTATGAGGGGTTTTGATGTTCTTCCTTGTCTGCTTCTTTTACCTGGCCTCTGCTAAATGAGGTGCTTTGTTTAGACGTAATTGAATGCAGGATGTTAGCCAGGAGTCCTGAAACCCAACCCTGGCTGTCTGTGACTTACCGCATGGCCTTGGGCAAATCTCTTACCCTCTGTGACCTGTGCTTGTTGGGGTGAAGGATGTGGTTCCTGCCTTGTCCGCTGGAGACTGAAGGTTCAGGAGCTCTCAGCCCCGTTTGCAAATACTCAGTGACAGTGCACTGCTTTTCTGCATCTCTACTTTTTGCCAAGCTCACAAAATTATTCTGTCCTTGCAGTGATCCGCTTAGTGCTGCGTTGTGTTGTTGTTTTCCTCGTTTATTCTTAGGTGAATCAAAAATATGTATTTTAATCTGACCAGCAGAGGCAGACAGCTTGGGCAAACTTGTGGATGCCTTTGTCTATAGGTTGGTGCAGAGTGATGCTCCAGGAGGTGCAAAGAAAAAGCGTGGAAGGGTGAGCAATGCAGAGAAAGCAGCGTAAGCAAATCCAATGGCAGTACCAGGGCAGTTGCTGAAGTGTCTTTCTAAGGGCAAGAAGAGGAGGTAGCATGAATGGCCTGGAGAACTGATCAGAAATGGTGCTTATTTTGTCCAGCAGCTCTCTTAGGCCATGCTGCCTGTTGGGCAGCCCAGGAGAGCCCCCAGCTTTAGTGGTGATGGGAAAGGTGCAGTAGCTGCGATCTGTAGTGGGAAGTAACTTCTACTGCTTAAAATGCCTGCTGGTTTTGATGGAAAGGTGAAACACCCGAGAAAATAACTTTTTAAGCTTCCAAAAAGTCTTCCAATACAGTTCATTTGTGCACAAAAACAATTATTTCTTCCTTTATTAATCTAAACCATGTAGTTTTATACCATGAACCATGGGAGGAAGTTTAATAATCTCTGTAAAATGCAGGTGGAAACCCCTGCGGAGTACTCTGAAGGCTACAGCTTGAACAAAGGTTGCCTCCTTTATTATCGTTTGCAAAGATAACTTGGCTTGACTTGGACTTTAGGAGAAGGAAAGTCTATATCTGTTAATGAAAAATCCTAGTGCAGATAATGGGTAAAATTAGCATTTTGTTTCTGTAAGTGCCTCATCTTCAACCATCGCTGCTTGGCCTCGGACAACCGGGACTGTGGGCTGTGGATCTGTCTGCTGTTTTAGTAAGTGGCAAATTAACCTCTTCCTTCTGTAGAGTCCTTTTGGCTCATAATGGTAATTTATTTATATCAGAATATTCTTCGTGTTCATTTTCACACATTCAGTAATTTTGTAATTCATTGATCCTCGCAGTTGAAAAGGTTTGGTGAAATATGTTTTTGGAAACACCTGTTTTAGGGAGTGGTTGCCCTTGGTGACTTTATCCTGGAGCTAAAATTTCAGGAGTGGAAGGGAAGGCAGGTGAGGAGAAATTAGTTATTCACTGGATGGTAAGCATCTTAGATCTGTCTTCTTGTGGTGGATGTCAGTGCCGATGTTCCTGCTCGCTGCCAGTGCACTGATGATGATGCAGGGTGCCTCCGCTACGGTAATGTGTGAGGGAAAAGGAAATAATCTGCTATTCGGATGAAGTTCTCAGTATCTTCTGCACAAGCTGTGGCCAAAACAACTTTTTTAGAAGTATTTCCTGTGAGGTGAGATAGTACTGTGAATCAAAGTATGCGTAATTTTTGTATAAAAGCAGTGTATGTATGTCTGTATACACGTGTGTGTAAAGTCTGGGTCTGGGTGACTGACAAAAAGTAGGTGAGCTAACCACGCTGACTCAGACAAGAGGCTGCTCACAAAACAGGTTTCCCAAGGTTTCGCAGTGATAGTCTGATTCTCTGAAAGGGCTGTCTTAACCTTTTCAGTTCTGCTGTGCCACGGCGATGAGTTCAGAATTGCCAGGTGTGACATGCGTTGCGGTGAGCTGGGATCTGTGATGCGGAGGTGTTGCTGCACCACATGTATTTTTCCCTTAGCCACGTTTAATCACTTGAATTAGGATGGGAAGTCTGAGTCACCTCCTGGTAAGCCTGTGTTGGCACTGCCCAACTCCAGCAGGTTTCGAGGTGGCGACTTCTTTCAAGATCACCACGCATAGGAAGAGAGTGGGAGCTCTGATAGACCAGCAAGTCGCTGCTTGTTTCCTGCACTCTGGTGCAGCAGCTTGAAAGTAAGTTCACCTATTTTTTCCCAGGACAGATATTCAGCAGTTTTGTTTCCTGAAGCTGTGCTGAGAGCTGGTGTGTGTCCGCTAGGTCAGGTGCTGAGGAGCCAATTGCCCGTGATGTCTGGGCAGAGTCTGCTTTCTGCCGTGCCAGGCACCAAGCCCCACTGTTTATGATAGTCACAGAGAGCTCTTAGGCTGACATCAAGGTCGTATTCTGAATTATAAGCCTTGTTTGTTTGTTTGTTTGTTCGTAATGCAGCATTTGTTTGATTAACCTTGAAGAGTTGAGGCCTCGGGATTCTAAGTGCATTTGAGAATTTCCAACTGAACTGAATCCTAGATAACGTTCCTAGGTGTGGAACTTTAAGCTTTTAATAAACTCCTCACATCCTCCTCTATCTTGCGTGTGTCATAACATACGCAGTTAAGATAAATATCGTTAAGATATAGGAAACCAAAGAGAGGAAATTGTCTGCTGAGCCTTCTATATCCAAACAAGGAAGAAGTGGTTGGGGTTTGAAGGGTGGGACAGTCTTGCACACTGGGGCCATTGGGTGGTGGAATTTGGAATCCTGACAGGAGGAAGCAAGGCGAGTCACAGAATCATTAAGGTTGGAAAAGATCTCAAAGGTCACCAAGTCTAACCGTCTGCCCACCCCCACCATGCCCACTGACCAGGTGCCACGTCTCCATGGTTCTTGAACATCTCCAGGGATGGTGACTCAGTGTCTTCCCTGAGCAGCCCGTGCTAGTGCCTCACCACTCAAATCCACAGCCCTGGACATCAGGAGAGCAAGGATCTGCTTGGAGGTGTTCCACGGGGGATGGTCCTGGAGAGGAGAGTTCAGATTTGTTGTCTGGTTTCCAAGGATCTCCTCCTCCCGGAGCAGGAAGTCAAGCTAGCGTGGCTGGGATGTACATAGATCAACAAGGAACTGCTGCCAAAATTCAGACACAAAAAGAACACGTACAGAAAGATGAAAGCAGAGACAGATGATGTGGGAGGAACAATAGAGATACTATTTGAGCATTCTCAGAAGGGGTTGGGAAAGTCAAAGCCTGCCTGAAGACTGCCTCAGATGAAAAGAACCGTGCCTGCAGTCACAGGTGAATTAAAATAGTTATGTAAACTATTGAGGTTGCCTTTCTCTAAAGTATTTCAAAATGGAACTCTACCAACATTCCAGTATTCCATGAGAATACATAAGGAAGTTGGTGCATTTCAGAACGATGACTGATTGTTAGTTCTGATTGGGAAATATCGCTCCTCCCATGTATGTAATTTGGGGGATATTCAATTGTTTTGATGTAGTCATTCCCTGAAGTAAGTCTAGCTGTTCTGTATCGAGTAGATACACGGATATGTGGCCTTGTGGCTGCAGGCCTTGAGCTCATTCAGTTGATGGTTAGAAGAGCTTGGAGTGATGGTTATGTCCTTTTCCTATTTGTGCTGTTCCACACTCTTTTAAGTAAATACTTTTCCTTACAGTGTCATTAAGGAGGTTGTTCATAAGGTACATTCTGTGTGCTTGTTCAAAAACTTGCCAGCTCTAGAATTTCCTACCTATTTTGAGCAATATGTCATCCTCACATTTTGGAAGCAAATCTAGTTTTGCTGTTACCCTGTTATCCCGCAGAAGCTCTTCTTACAGGTAGATTAGTTCAACAATATATTTTTAATGAAGGATGATACTCTATTAAAGCATTTGGCTGGAATCCCTGAAGTGGGGATAGAAATGCAATATCCTGCCATTGAAAGACTCCAGTTCTCACTGCTGCTTTGTGAGAGCTAAATAGTGGGCTGCAGGAGGATTACCCAGACCCGTCCTATCCCTTAACAGAATCACAGAATCTTTAAGGCTGGAAAAGATCTCTAAGATAACCTAGTCCAACCCCATCCCACTCCCACCGTGCCCACTAAGCCATATACCCAGTTGCCATATCTACACATACGTGTTGTAATGACCCCTTCTCTGCTGGCAGGGTGCCCCTGACAGTTCAGTTCTTTGGGGGTGCAAAAGGAAGGCAATCCCTTTCAGTTTCCCTTGGACAGGCCATCAGACTGGTAGCATCATGGGGAATTTAGGTGATTCCACTTAGCTGTGCATTTATAAAAGAAATGCAGTGTGGTGGTTTGAGTTTATTTTTTACATCTAAGTCTTTTCATGATTATTCAGTTGGTTAATCAGCTGAGTAAAGATGAATAGGCTGAAGACTCTGTGTGTCAGGTGTGTGAACTTATTTTGCCTTAGCTTGAGAGCAGTTCAAATATCCAGTGGTGCTTTTAGTTCAGAGGGGCACATGTAAGCATTTATAGCTGTTCCCTGCATTCTGTTCCACACACATTGCAGTGTCTGTGACTACTTCTTTGCAGGTCTCAATGAGGAGCAGCTGAGGAAACTGTGGTTGCTCAGTCTAGAGGAGACTCAAGGGAGACCTCATTGCTCTCCAGCTCCCTGAAAGGAGGTTGCAGTGAGCTGGGGGGTCAGCCTCTGCCCCCACATAACAACAATAGGATGAGAGGTGAAGCCTCAAGTTGTACCAGGAGAGGTTCAGGTTGGATATTAGGGAAAACTTCTTCTCTACAATGGTCAGGCATTGGCACGGGCTGCTCAATGAAGTGGTAGAATCATTGTCTCTGTGGGTATGTGGCACTTGGCTACATGGTGAGTGATCATGGTGGAGATGGACTGGCACTTGGTCTTGGTGATCACAGAGATTTTTTTCCAACCCTAATGATTCTACGGTCCTGTGATTCTTCTTGCTGTGTGTATTTCTTATGTGTATTTCGGGGAGGAAATCAGATTGAGCATTGTGTTGCTCTAGAAGCCCAGGGCATGTTGGTATCACTGTGGTCCTGGCCTGGCCCCACAGGAACACCGTGCTGCTGCTCGTCAGCAAAGTGCTGCTGCTGCACCAAGAGATGGAATGTTGTTATTTTGCACCAGCTCACTGCTCCATGCAGGTGCTGCTTCCTCCTCAGCCACTGGATTAATTTTCACGCTTTTTTAGCTCATTGTTCAAAGCTAGGCTTTGCAAACTGGGGCTGCTAATGGAAAAGGGGCTAGAAAGGAAGGGGTTGGGGGGGAGTGGGAGTTGAAGAAAAATGGGTAAAAAGAGGAGAAATAAACCAGGATATGACAGTGAGGTAGTGAAGTGCCTAAATTTGAGTTTGAATCTCCTGCATCTCTCATGAGTTCTGTAACTCTGAGAGTATTTAGAATAGGCAATAGAAGTTTTAGACTGCATGTCCCGTGTGTTAGTGACCAGCTGAAATGTCCCAGCTAACGGCACTGGTGAGTGGTTCCTAGCAGCCTGAGTGGTTTTTCAAGAAGCTGCATCAAACCATACATTCTGATGTGATGCCTGCAGGTTTGGTTTTAATTGTAAGCTGGCTGTTCCAAAGCATTCACTCATGTGCTGCTGCTCAGAAGCAGATCATGCTTTGGGCTGCCAGCCCACGGTCATGTCATTTGAGCAGCATATTAAGTGCTCATTTAATATTTATGTCTCTCATAAGAGATATTAGGGAAGGGAGGCAGTTCTGCTCTGTAAAAATGGAAACCAAAGTGGTTACCAGCAGGGTTTGGTGTCAGCCTCAGTGATTGCTGTTGGCTGGCTTTGTTGACAGGAGTGTAGATAGAATGACACAGCCTTGCATGTGCTGAGGTGACACTGGGCTGTGGGGACCCAGGGGAGCTGGCTGGGGCTTCCTGGGCTCCAGGAGGCAGCCCCTTCTTCTCCTTGGAGTTTTCAATCAGAGTCTTTTCAGAAGTGTTGATCTTCCAAAACAAGTAACTGAAGCTTCAGTACAACAAATTTGGAAATTGCGTGGCTAGAAATGAGCAGTACACACTCATTGGGACAATCTGAACTGTTGTGCCAGGTCAGTCATTAAAATGCCAGGACACCAAGTGAAGCAGTGAATAGGCCAGGTGTCAGTGTAGACCTCCCTAGGAATTGTACAGTTGGCTGTTTAGGTTGGAGTTACAAGTGAGACTTGGTTGCTGGGTTCAGTTTACAGCCAATTAATTGGATGCTGTAAGCTGCAGCAAGCAGCTGAAGGTATGGAAGTGGTCCCAGTGACCTAAAAATGAAGGAGACTGGGGCGCAGCTCCTGCACCCCTCTGACCCTGATGCTGCTGCAGATGTGGGTGACATGGCTGCTGAGAGCTGGCTTGCTTGTTTCTGCATCCTATTGTAGATGTCCTTCATCATGACTGTAGGATTTTCCTCGGTCTGCTGTGTGTGTGTAATTAAATACAGCACTGTTCTGTGCTCTCAGCTGCTCCAGGGGAACTAGTTTCAAATTTGTTTTTTTGCTAAACGTTATTGCCAACGTAAACTTACGAGTTGTGGTTTCCAATACCTGCTTTGTTAGCTCTGCTTCTAAACCTTTACAAAATGCTTGCAGGGCACTAGCAGCATGAGTTTGGAACGGGACTCGGAGACCACTTTTGATGAGGATTCCCAGCCTAATGACGAAGTGGTGCCATACAGTGATGATGACACAGAGGATGAGCTGGACAGTCAGCAGCCTGCCGTTGAACCAGAGCAAAACCAAATCAACAGGAGGGTCACCAAGGAGAGCCAAGAGCCGCTGAAAAAAGGTACTACTCTGATGGAAACTTGCCTTGGGTAGCTAATGGTACCAAAGCCAGAGGCTAAGCCACATGTGCATCCATCTTCTCTTTGTAATTTGTGTGTTAGATAGCATTTGGACAGGCTTAGAATCACAGAATGGCTCAGATTGGAAGGACCTTAAAGACCTTCTGGTTCCGAAGATCATCTGGCTTATCCAAATGGAGGAGCAATGGGTGGCAATTCAATCTAATAAATATCTGTATGAAAATCAACTTAACTCCAGTCTGCGTCTAGAATTCTGTGCCAATACCTGGTGCATAACAGTAACGATCTGCCTTGTATCCTCAAGTTAATTAAGGTGGATCTTAGATGTACATGGCCTTTGGTCCAAGAACTGCTTGAACAGAGCTTCTCTTTCTTGCCTTCTCCATCACCTGAAAATTGAAAGAAGCATAACACAGTTATCTCTACTTGGTTGTTGGTTTTCATAGCTTTCTAAACAACTTCAAAGTAGAAATTTGAAGTGCAGATGTGGGTGACGTGGCTACTGAGATGGATGGTTTCTTAGGAAATGCTTTTGAAACTTTTTCCCTGAGGAGGCTGCGTATCAATTCCAGCTTTAAATGCAAAATACTGAAAATAACAGATCCAAGCAAGCTTGCTCGGTAGCTTTGTAAGTGGTTCTCTAAGATTGTTGTCCAAAACTTTGGAAGGCTGCTGCTGACATCTCTTGTTCAGTTTTATTAAATTTGCTGCATACTGTACATACTGTAATTCGGATTCCTGAGTTTTCAAGCAAGCTGAGCCCAGCAGGCTTTTACTTATGATTGTGAATAAAAGCACACTATGTTTATACTAATGCATTTTTTAAAAAAAAAAAAAAAAAAAAAAAAAAAAGAGTGTGTCTTTCAATTTTTAAAAGGACTGAGAAACCCTGTTTTTTGAGTGCACGGTGCTTCGCAGTTGTTAGCAGAAGCAAACTGAAAGAGTGGAAATAAGGAAATTTAGTCAAGGGTGCTTGACTGAATGTTTCTCTATGCTTTCAGATGCCTGTAGAACTTCCAAATTGTTATTTGACTTTTTCCTACTTCGGTTTATTTTTTAATTTATTTATTTATCTGTTAGTAAAGACTAGTAATCTGGAAATATCTCAAACATTTTATTAGACAGTATAATATGAAAAGTCAGTTCCAGTCTTGTTTCAATTGAAATTACCTTAAAAAGATGGTGTTTGAAAGAACCTGACACTGGTAGAATGGCTTCCTCATGTGTAACAATCAAATATTGACCTGTATTTACCGTTTTCTTCCAGACTGCAGCTGGCAGGTTAAAGCAAATGATCGTCACTTCCATGAACAGCCCCAGTTTAAGAGAAAAATATTTCTATGCTTCAAAAAAAGCAAATACGCTGTAAGTTTTCTGTGTCTCAATTACATGGTTTAAGACTTGTCAGGGTGAACGCTTTCTTGATCTCATTAAGATCTTTTCAAACGTTGTTGACTGGAGTAAAAGCAGCGATTAATGCTCTATTAGGATTTCCAGTAAAGGCAGGGAAATATAATTGATTTGAGTTTGTGAATAGAACATTTTGGTATTAAGATGAGGTGAAGAATTAAAAGCCAGATATCCTCAGTCCAGATTCTGAATTTTATCTGCCAAACTACAGCTGTTGCAAACATCCAGAAAGCTGTCTTCTTTCATCAAAGAAGGCTGTGTGTAGGATTAAGCAATATCCTGATGGAGCTTGTCTGGAACAGCCTTAAAAATACAGTAGGGAATGTCTATTCATTTAAACTGTGTTATTGCAAGTACACCTGGTTAGGATCAAGGAGACTTTTTAATTCAAAGGATTAAATTTGTGGTGCCAGTTGTGATTGACACAAAATTAGACTTTGGAGTTGACATGTCAACAGTATGGTGTTATTGGTGGTGCACTGGTCTGTGTGTTTCCTTGTGCCTGCTGAGATATCTGCCTTACAAACTTCATGTTATTTAATGCATGATTATGAACATTTTTTGCCAAAATTTCTGCAGCTGGAGCCATTATTCAAATAGAAGTCTTTTATGGTAGGGACCACTGATGGAGGTTACCCTGAGCAAGTCTCACGTAGTCCCTCCTGAAATCTGATTCAAAGACTTGTCTGCATGTATTTTTTTGTAGATAGACATCGGACACCAATTGTATCCCTAATAGCAGTGCTGTGTATACAGCAAATAATGCTCATATGCCTTACAGAGAAAATAGAACAGAATGGGGAGGGCACTGAAGTTTCCCCCCTGCACCATGCTCCTATGGGAGCTACCAGGGAACAGGCTGTGTCCTTCCTGCACTGTGGCTGTGTGATGTTCTGTAGACCCTGGTGATACGAAGCTAGATGTGAAGTCTGTGATGCTTTTTGGCAGTGTAAATGCCAGTGAAACAGACTATTTTTTGTGTGTTTCATTATGATAGTTACAAGTCTAACAAAGTTTATAGGAAAGATTTCTCTAGTCAAATGTTTTACTTAAAATATGATCTGTACATTTGTAAAGTAAGAAGAATCTTATGTTATGAATGACATTTGATTTATTCAACAGGGAAATGCAATTAAGACGTACAAGTACAACCTTGTCACCTTTTTACCACTGAATCTATTTGAACAGTTTAAAAGAGCAGCCAACACCTACTTTCTGGTACTCCTCATTTTGCAGGTAAGGCATGGTTTATGAATAGAGATTATGAATTGAGAAGTGAGTTTGAGGTGCTGACCTACCAAATTGAATAACACTTCTGACACAATTCATTGCTGTCCTTTTAGGAAATTGCATGATACTCTGTGAGGGACCATATCTGAAGGATTATTGAAACTAAGGATATCTTAACAGAAGTCCAGATCACCCTACCCTACTTTTGTATTACCTTAGACTAGCTAGTTGCAGAGTTGATCAATCTGTTACTCTGTAAAACATGATGACTTCCATGTCCCATTCATAAACCAGAAGCTCCAAGAGAAAATATAAGCAACTACAACTGTTAAAGAGAAGCCAGTGTTGAGGCAGGACAGCATGGCCGAGCTCTGTTAGCAGAGTTTTGTTTTTTTTTTCATCTTCATAACCTGATTTAAATTCTCTGATGTGTTGGTTTGCCTTGTAATGTTATAACTGGCCTGCTACTTACTGTTTCTGAAGGGAGCCTGATGATGATCCTGTACTGATTCTGTCTGTCTCCGATAGGCAATTCCCCAGATAAGTACCCTGTCATGGTATACAACGCTGGTGCCCTTACTCTTGGTGCTGGGAATAACTGCAGTCAAAGACCTAGTGGATGACATAGTAAGAAACACGTTCTGTTGACACTAAAAGCAAAAGAAAACAGTTATTTCATGGAGTACATCCCCTCCTCTTGCCTTTCAGGTTCGTCACAGGATGGACAACGAGGTTAATAATAGAGCTTGTGAAGTCATCAGGGAAGGAAGGTTGGTAGTTTTTTTTCTTAAGTTAGTAACTGATGTTTGTTGCTTTGTCACATAAACCATACATGACAGGGAAGGTTCAGCTTTTTGTTCTCTGCTATTCCATACGTCTGTGTGAAAAGCTAATTGGAAACAGAAGGGAATTTATTTTCACATAAACAGGAGTCATTTAAACTTAGTTCTTAGTGACACTCAGTCTGTGCTAAGAGCAGCTTCGTTTGAGAGGTGGACAGAAACTCATATATGAGCAAGCAGGGAAGAAAGGAGATAAGCTTTCTTCTAAGTTTTAGGCCCCATCTAAATTAGTTTCCAAACACAAGAGACATCTTAACCAAGATGTAATGTTTTTGTACTATAGAAATTTAATATTTCATGATCTGTAGCGTGGATACTGTTCTAGATGAAATAGCAATAATCATTAAACTATCTTGGTACTAGGTTCAAAAGCATGAAATGGAAAGATATTAAAGTTGGTGATATCATTCGTCTGAAGAAGAATACTTTCATTCCTGTAAGTGCTTTAGATACGTTTGTTTTGTATTCCCACAGAATTCTGTACAGATCTTGACCTGGATTTATTTGCTGCTTATTTATTTGTTTTACTAGGCTGATATTTTGCTGCTATCCAGCTCAGAACCAAACAGCCTCTGCTACGTAGAGACAGCTGAACTAGATGGGTAAGAATGTACATAAGGATTTTTTTAAATTTATTTTTGGCTTACTGGTAAAAGAGCAATAAGTGTATATTTCAGAAATAAGGCAATTAAACTGAATAAATTAAATACAATTATTTTTGAGGTAAGGATGCAATTAATTAGTTTGTCTTCATGGGTGAGGACAGTTCCTAAGTTCTTGTGCTAAGAAGCAATGATAAACCAAATGGCAACAACTGGCAGTAGAGGATGGTCCAGTCAGGGACCACCTGTATAAACTGTCCTTGATAAGCCTGATGATCCCATCACCATCGTCTGAGGGTGGTAAAAGTTATCTGGCATCATTGCTGAGCCACTGTCAGCCTTCTTCAAAAGGTCGCAGAGACAAGGGGAGTTCCCAAGGCATGGAACATAGCAAGGATCACACCCTCCCACCAGAAAGAGCCAAAAGGGCATGAAGGGAACTACAGACCAGCCTGCCTTGCCTCACTCCCTGGAAAAACTGTGAAACAGGAGAGCTCACGGGAGCTATTTACAGACATGTGAAAGACGAGACTGGGGAAAGCCAAGGATTAACACTGTGCTTAACCATTATTGCTTCCATCTCGAAATATCTTCTACGCTGGATATGGGGCCCATTTCATAGCAGAAGATGTTCATCCACTTTGATTTTATGAGTGCATCTGATAAGATATACTTATTGACAAGCTGCTAATGTGAGAACTGGACAGACAGACCACAAGTCTGGGGGACAGGAATGGGGAAAACAGCTGAACTGTTGAGAGCAAAGGTGGCTGTGAAGTCCTGCACATGGAGTTGGGTAATCCCAGCCAGCAGTACAGACCAGGATCTGACTGGCAGGGGTGCAGCTCCATGAAACCTGGGGGTCCTTGTGGACAGCAAGCCATTAGTGCACCCTTGAAGCAGTGGGCTTTGGCAGGCCCACTATAACAACCAAGAGATGAAATTGTTCCGTAGTTCCTGACACCTGTTAGCCACACCAGGAAAAATGTCCAGTGCTTGATTCCAGCAGTTTGAGGAACATTAAGAACTAGTGAGGGTGCATTGGAGTGCCACCAAGATGGCTGAAGTGTTGGTGAACACGGTACACTGAGAAAAGGTGCAGGAGCTGGTGTTATGCTGCCTGGAGAAGTGTGATTTAATAGCAGTCTTCTAGTATCTCACAATTGCAGTGAAGATACAGTGTTCCCAAGGATGCACACTGACAGCACGAGGAATGCAAGGGACTTCAGGGGAAATTCTGCCTGGATTTATGTAAAAATTGGCTGTTCTCGTGGTGAAGAATTTTTGCCTTTGGGTTAATCAAGATTTAGGTTGATGGGATCCTGGATAACTTCAGCTGAGGTCTAGCTGCTGACAGGAGCCTGGACTATCTATTGCCAGAGATCTCCTGCGACCTGCCCTCTTCTTTTTTCTAATCGTGTCTTACTGCCTGTGAGTTAGAGCAAGAAAATTAAAATAACCAACAACAGAAGTCCAAATAAGCAAACAATTTCCTGTGGAAGTTTTTTTCCATTGATGCTGCTTAAATAGCGTAAATCTTACTATTTCTGTCATGTTGCTTTGCAAACGTTGCTTAGTTCATGTTGTCAGAGAAGGTAGTGTTGATTTTTTGTTTTTCAAGAGAAGTCTGCGATGATAGGGACTTCACCTAATGAGGCGATGTTAATTTTGCTTTCTCAGTCAAGTTTTAGTGATCTTGTAAGCAGTAATTTATACCATCACGCAAAATGTTTGCTCTCAATCGGAGCTTTTAACAACGTCAGTTGTTAAATATTGCTTTGAACAAACCATTAATTGCACTTAATTACTGCTGTGGTAGTACAGCAGTGTTTCTGAGAAACCTCACTTTTCTGAGTGAGGGGAGGTAAGGGGTTGTTACAGTGTCTGATCTTGTAGGTGAGGAAAATCAGCCAGTGTAATAATTGATTGTGTCGCTCGTGTTTCATGTCCATGGAAACACATAGCTTTGCTTGTTCCTTCCAAGTGGGAGGCTGGTGTCTCTTGTGCACTGATTCACTTAATTTAATTTTGTTCAAATGTTTTTCCTGTATCAGAGCTCTTAACACAATATGCTTTTTATCCTTTATTTTTAGCGAGACAAACTTGAAGTTTAAAATGGCCCTTGAGGTAACAGACAGGTATCTTCAGGAGGAGAATGCGATGGCAAACTTCAATGGTTTGTACAGTTATATTTTTATATATTACTACAGCTATTCAGATGTTGATCAAATAATTTTACAGTCCACGTAAATACAGCAGGGAGTGGACATTAATACTGGTGCTTGTGATGCTGGAATTAACACTGGCAAATTGCACAAGGATGCTGTGAGTCTGAGCAAAATACAGTCTATATCTGAAGATAAGACCTGGGGCTTGAATGAACTATGACACTATGAACTATTGACATTTCAGCATTTGCATGTGTTTTTCTATGGGGGGGAAAAAAGTTTGCTGTTGGAGTTATATCTGGAAAGGTTTCTATTCATTTACTTATGTCTTGGTAAGTCTGTTGTCTGTTTATTTACTTATATTTTGATGATAATAAGTACAACATGAGCCGAAATCCTAGGGCGAGCTGACTGTGGGAGTGGAACTATCGAGTGATCGATGAGAGACAGTGGGAACAGGGCAAGTTCTAAGAGTGGAATTAAAATGTCACTGTTTGTAGCCAAAATATTCACAGATATCTGAACAAGGAGCAGAGGCTTGTTTTACCCTGTGAGATCGTTGCTGGGATCAGTAGCAAAAGGAGCCAAACGCTGTGGTCATCCTGGAATTTAAGATTCAGAGAGAGCTTCACTCTTGCAGTCAGGCCCTTGTTAAAATTTGAGAAATATTAAAAGAAAAAGAGTTTTTTTGGTGGTAAATGCTGTGTATTAAACACATTCTCAAAATTTAGGTCTGATTGAATGTGAAGAACCTAATAACCGGCTGGATAAGTTCACAGGAACGTTGTTCTGGAGAAACAGGAGCTATGCATTAGATGCTGATAAGATCTTACTACGTGGATGTAAAATCAGGAATACAGATTTCTGCCATGGGGTTGTCATATTTGCAGGTATGTGTGGAATTAATATGTGTAACATTTGCTCATCAAAAGAGTACTCCCAGGAGGAACATTGTGCCCTTCTCTTATAAACTTTGACTATTCCCACTTTTTAAAAATTGCGTTTGCTGTGTTAAATCTTTCCTTTTTTCTTTTTCCTTAGGTGCCGATACAAAAATAATGAGAAATAGCGGAAAGACAAAATTTAAAAGGACAAAAATTGACTCCCTTATGAATTACATGGTTTATACTGTAAGCGTTTTTCTTTAAAATTCAGAAGTTTGAGTTCATTTTTAAGTAAACAGAGTGAATGCAAACTTAGGAAGTTTTTTTTTTCCTTCTGATATAAACAGTATACATCTACTTTGTTTTGAGTTGGGATGAAGTAGGGGGAGGAATCTAAGAGTGCATCTCACGTTGTTGGAATCTGTGGCCCTAAAATGGAGATAGAAGGCAGCCTGCATAATACAGAAATGTACTTCAAAACCAGTGTTGCAGGTGCTTCTGTCTGCACTGAACTGCTTGGTAGAGAGCCTTGAGAATCCAGGTCCTGGTCCCAAGGTCTTCTCAGCACCCGCATTTCTTCTCTTGGAGCCTGTATGAGGAATGCCTGTGCCCCCCAGCCCATGCTTTAATCAGAAAGATGATTCCCTGAGATATGGGAAAGAGGTAGAGGGAGCTGGGCAGCTGGCAGGTGGAGGCACTTAGCTCAGCACCAGTACAGCTCTGCTCGGTGCATGTTCCCATGCCCTACTTGCTGCCTACGTAAGCAAGTGTCAAAACATGAGAACTATGCTTGGGGAATAGACTGAAATTAGATTACCTAATTACCTAAAGAGTCTGTTTTGTGGGAAAGGTTCGCTCACCTTCTCTTTATTCACTGTACACGTTTTATTTTGGTTTGAACGTGGAGATTTGGGAATTAAGTCTAGCAAACATTACCAAGGTGCCATACGCCTCTCTGTATGCACTGCAGATTTTTGTTGTCCTCATCCTGCTTTCGGCTGGCCTCGCCATCGGGCACACCTACTGGGAGCAGCAGATTGGCAACTCATCTTGGTACCTCTACGATGCACAGGACTACAGTCCTCCGTACCGCGGCTTCCTTAACTTCTGGGGCTACATCATTGTTCTGAACACTATGGTTCCCATTTCTCTCTATGTGAGGTAGGTCAGCACCTTTCGATAGTTGGACCGTTGATGGGATTCAGTTATTAAACTTCAGAATTATATTAGGAAGAAATTCTTTACTCAGGGGATGGTGAGGCACTGGCACAGGCTGCCCAAAATGCCCAAAATGGCACAGGTTGTGGATGCCCCTTCCCTGGAGCTGAGTGGAATGGGGCCCTGGGCAGCATCATCTAGTGACTGGTGACCAGCCTATGTTAGGGGGGTTGGAACTAGATGATATTCTGTGATAGCATGAACTAACAGCCAACAGAGTTGATTTTCCACGGTGGTAACAGATGCAGCTTCACGTGGGATGGAAACACAGGCTGATATACTATCTTACTGAAAAGATGATATGCTCTGTTCACTGGGACTGTAGAAGAAGGTGATTTTGTCTGTCACATTTTCATATAAAATCATCACCCAAATCCCTTTGCCACAGAATTTGAAGATACTGAACTTTTCTTACATTGTTAAGCATATATATACTTTACAATTTGACTAAGGAAAAGACTTTCCCAGTGATCTGTGACAGTATAGGAGACTTATCTTTCTGCTATTTAAATTCTTGATCTAATTCTACAATCTTACAGTGCCTGAAGGAAACTACTTTTGTAATAAAATGAAAAAACATACTCATTTTTCAAAAGAAAAATCTTAACGCTCTAATCATAGAATCATAGAATCATGTAATAGTTCAGTTTGGAAGGGACCTGAGAGATCATCTTTTTCCAACCCCCCTGCCATGGATAAGGACACCATCCGCTAGACCAGGCTGTTCAAAGCCCCATCCAGCCTGGCCTTTAAAACTGTGCAAAGCTGGCCTTTTTCTAATTTAACAACTGTGATCCCAATAACATCAGAATTTTCACAAAGCTAACAAAAAGTTGAATACTATTTTTAAGAACTGTCAAAATAATTTCTGTTTCCAGTGGCTTTCACTTCAGCCTCAAAGCTCCTAGTCACACTTCAGTTTCAAAGCTTAAATCCTTCATAACATAAAGTAGGTCTGAAAAAAAAAGATTAAGGTACCACAGTGAACATGAATACAATGGAAAGGAGGTGCTTTTTAATAGTAGTAATAAAAAGCAAGTTCAATTAATTGGGGATTCTACAGTGAATGCTTATTAGTTGCTTCTAACAAATACCGTGTTAGTATTTTTTTTTACTTCAGAATCACTAGAATTTGGGTATGCGATGCTCTGATATCAGAGTTTAAATGCATTAATGATTTTACTCTTGGCAAGCATGTTTAGAACATGCTTAAAGTCCTTCAGCTTCCTACCTCCTCTTCTCAAAACAGTACTTAGAATGCTGTTCTCAGGTTTGATTTCTATTTGCTGTAGCAGCATTGATATTTTTTGGTCTGATCAGCCACATGGGCTTTTCCACAGTCACTGCAGTGTTGCTGAAGTTGAGCTGTGTGGTCTGAAGTTGGGTTGAGTGGCCTGACTAGGGGTTGTGGCACTGTAATAAAGTGGTAAAATATGATTGTTTTGGCTTAAGCTCCTATGCTATATAGGCAACCTTGAGTCCCTGAAAGTACAGCCAGAGCCCCCCCAGGTCTGATAAAATGTCATTATTTTGAATATAAGTTCCAACGGGCATCAACAACTTCTGGTTTATTTCATTTAGCGTTGAAGTGATTCGTTTGGGCCAAAGTTATTTCATAAACTGGGATCTGCAAATGTATTACCCTGAGAAGGACACGCCTGCAAAGGCCAGAACCACCACTCTGAATGAGCAGCTGGGGCAGATCCATTACATCTTCTCTGACAAGACAGGAACTCTCACGCAGAACATCATGACGTTTAAAAAATGCTGCATAAATGGCCAAAGATACGGTAAGTCTGTGCCATGACGTTGCAAGCCCCAACAGGGAAAACCAGGTTCTCATTTCCACAGCAAGTGCCAAAGTGTTGCAGTACCAAAGGCAGGGTTTGCTGCTGGCAGGAGCACTGGCAATTCCATATCTGGATGCACAGCTGGGAGTGTCTGTGCCCAGCCACTGTCCTCTGTGCACCTGATGTGTGTCAGGGGCTCCTTGATAGCCTGCACAACACAGCTGGCAGCCTCAGGTTGATCTTCCACTGTAAGTCTGTGAAAATGAGTAGGAACTTGAATGCTGGCTTGAAATCAGGTGCATGGAGGTCTTCTCGTTTCAAATGAACTTCCACAGCGTAGCCATGGCATTGAGTAAAGCTCCAGTAAAACTGAACTGTAGTTTTCCCTTGTTTCCATCCTTTGGAAAGGCAGACAATGCAGTGGAATCTTTCCAGTAGAAAAGTCAGAAACGAGTAATTTACAGACTGTTTTCTTTTATTAGAAATGCTCTGGCACAGAGTTTAACCCAAGGAACAACTAAGAAAGTGTGGTAAGAGCAGTAGCTTTTCATTTTAGTGTTAGTTCCTTCTATTTATGAGCTTGTCTAGATTTCAGTATTTGGAATAACACGGTGATGTTCTCCATAACAGAACCACTGTTTGTCAATGCAAACAACAGAGTTTGCTTCTTAAACATCTGACCTCCGAGTTAAAAAGAAGGATTTCTGACAGTGAAAGCTCTGTTAAAACAACGTGGATGTTTTATGACAATTCTACAAGATGGCTTTTTTCTAATTTTTCTGGTATCACTGGCATAGTGATAGCTGGCATAGGATAAGAGGTACTGATGATATGAATGAATCTGACTTTTTTTTTTTTTTTAATCTGAGATAATTCTGGTATGATAGATGTAGCTACTCCATACTGCTGACCTTGTGAATGAGTTGTAACCATCTTTTTTTCCTGTCCTGTTTCTTGGAACGGATGGTGCTTGCAGGAGACTGCCGGGATGGAGCAGGCCAGCTCCCAAGCCACCCAGAGGTAGGTTGGTGTGATCCAGCATCACAGACCCTGCAGTTTGTAGGAGCACTGTCATGCTAAGGTATGAGGAGAGGCAGGTAGGCTCGAAAAATTGCACATGGGGTAACACTAATTCTTCTATTTCTAAGCAGCAAGTGGATTTCAGCTGGAACATGTATGCAGATGGAAAGTTCTTGTTCTATGATCACTATCTCATAGAACAAATAAAGTCCAAAAAGGACCCAGAAATCCAGGAGTTCTTTCTTCTGCTCGCTGTTTGTCATACAGTCATGGTGGATGTTTCTGATGGTGAGTATATTTTTTTTTTCTTGTGCTCTTGGAAATAATAATTGAAGTTCAGTTGCACAAGAGAGCAATCCAGAACTAATGTAGATCTCATAAGCAAGGAGATACAGACTGTTCTTCTAAATTAAACAGAAGCAAGACCCAGTTCTTCTTCAAGACCCAGATCCTGTGCTGAATTTTTCTAGCTCTTTGTGGAAGGAAAGCTGTCCTTAATGATGTCGTTACAGTTTTGGCGAGTGTGCACCTTAAATAACAGCAGGTTGAGAAAGGTAGTGGAATGCTTTATATAAACATCTTGAGGACGGTCTTCTTTCTACTCAAATGCATCTTTAAATCTGAAAAACATAAGCCTTAAATAAAATGACACTAGCATAGTCTCTGGTTCCCATACGCATGTGAAAGTGCAGACGTTTGGAAATTTGTTTTCAGTGTGGGAAGCTGAGCATTTTCCACATGAAGATTTCATTTGTTTACTCTTTGAAGTACAGTCCTGTAGGTGTACCCAAATGATGTATGTCCTGAGAATGTCAGCAGCCAGTAACAAAAATGATTAACAGAAAGATTGATAGAAACTGAGCTTGAAGGTGAATGAAGGTGTGATGAAGACTTCATACGTTTGGAAGTTAAGGTTAAACGTTTATGAGATGCTCAGGAGGAGAGCAATATTGCCTTACTCCAATCTTAGAAAAGATCCCTTTGAAACCATGAGTTTCCTGTATGTTCTTGCTCTTGCTACTGACCTTTTGGGAGTTGTTTTCACTGTACTGTGTTGGTGGTACCTGTGGGCAAGGACTTATGTTTTGCTCTGGTTTTTGGCACTTTCAGTGGAAGTGTTCAAATGACAATAATTGAGAAATTAAGTAATACTTGTTTTAAGATGGAGAAGTTAGTTTTTGCTTTTCTGCATGGGTGGAAGGGGATCAGTGACTCAGCCTGTTTGGAAAGTACCCATAATAAAAAGGGGTGGTCCCAGTGCTCCTCCTCTGGTGGCACTCCTGTCTGGTGCTGCAGCACTGTGTCAGATCCACTTCACAAGGGGAAAGAACACGACATTACATGTTTGGCTTTCAGTCACTTTGAAGAATGGGTGTGAAATCTTCAGCTATGTGATCCGAGTGCCCCTGTAATGCTCAGGTGTGCCCTGGCTTGCTTTCCTTCTCCCTTCTCAATGATGCAGGTCAGATCAACTACCAGGCAGCCTCCCCAGACGAAGGGGCCTTGGTTACAGCAGCCAGAAACTTTGGGTATGTTTTTCTTTCCCGAACACAAAATACCATCACAATAAGTGAAATGGGGACTGAAAGAACTTACGATGTCCTCGCGATCCTGGATTTCAACAGTGACAGAAAACGAATGTCTGTCATTGGTAAGTTGACTACAGCCCACCTCTAGTTTGCAAGATCTCTTCTAGGAAAAGTCACTTGTATTTCCTAGGTGAAATGGCTCTGAGACACAAAGTTTTATGATAGATTTTAGTCCACATTGATCTCACTCGCAAAATAAGGCATTGTAATGAGGTGCAGATGTGTCCATTCAACAGTCGTGGTGCTCAGATGAGGCTTTACTGAAGATGATCTTATGTTCCTTTAGTAGAAATTTGAAGAAATGTGACAAAGATAATTCATTCCCCATTTTCCCAGAACCAAATTGGTTCTATGTGCTTCGTAGGAATGAGGTATGCAGGCTGAAGTATAAGTAGTTCTTTATTTTTTGTTCTAATTACCATTAAAAATAGTCAGTCTTGAGTTCTTTGCAGACCTGTTGATTTTGTGGCAATGGTTATGGTGCATAATATCTTTAGTGTATGTGTCTGCCCTGCTCCTGTGTGCAAGTGAGATGCTAATGTTGTATGAAACATCACCAAAAACATATTTTGGGGGGACAACCTAAATATACTGCCCTGTCATGAAACAGAAATGTACTTCTCAACCTAGGTGCTTAGCTTAGTGTGAGGGGTGCTGCACCACGGAGAAACGTGGTCATGTAGTTTTGTGTACTTAGTAGTAAAATGAAGAATCTAATCTGAAATACTCCTTTATGTAAATATCCTCCTGCATTTTGTCCAACACTCCTGTTTTACTCAACAGTAAGAGAATCCAATGGACGTATCAGGCTGTATTGTAAAGGAGCTGATACAGTAATTTTTGAACGGTTGCACCCAAGGAATTTAAAGAGAGAAGCGACCGAAGAAGCACTAGATGTATGTCTGCATTTTATATGCTGCTTTTACAATTTCATGTTAAATTTATTTTGATCATAGTCTAATTTACTTGATGTCCTTTTGCTGAGCTATTAAAACAAATGCAAACGTGTAATTGATTCTATATGTAGTCCTGAACTTAAGAAACAATCATACCCATAATAGAAACAATCATACCCAAAAGGTTATTTTGCAAATTAAAAAAAAAAAAAAAGAAAAAAAGCATTAATTATATTGTCAAGAGAAGTGAACTTAAATTCTGTCTATTACTTTATATTTTTGTTATTAATTAATGAGTGTTCCATATCACTAAGCTCTGTTCTGTTTCTCACCTTCTCAGATCGCCTTTTAACTCAGGCTGCCTTGTCAGTTATAATTTAATTCTTGGCATTTATGAGATGTTCAAGATTTATTGTGCAGACAGACTTTGTTTTATTAGATTTACGCTCATGACTGTAACTTTGAAGTCCTTTTTTCAAAGGGTTTTTTTTTGTTGTTTGTGAATGTTTTTTTTCATTATTTTTCAGGTTTTTGCAAGCGAAACTCTAAGAACACTCTGTCTCTGCTATAGAGACATTAGTCATGATGAATTTGAAGCATGGAATGAAAAGTTCATGGAGGCCAGTGTAGCTACAAGCAGTCGTGATGAAGCTCTGGACAAAGTATATGAGGAAATAGAAAAAGACTTGATTGTATGTCAGACGTTAAATTTTTAATGCATTTTGATTCCTATGTAGGAAGAAACAGATCTCTTTGAAAATAATTTATCCTTGCTTATAGGACCTTTTGATTTAGATCTTTTCAATATTTTATTGGCTTTAGGGCCAATACAAATTTTAGGGAAGGCTTAAAACTGAGGGGGATGTATTTTAGTCAACTAGTTTTCTTTACTTTCCACCATCTCAATCATCCACTTCTCCAGTTTCTAACAATTTATCTTCTAACGTTTTAGAACCTATATTTCAGTGTAGTGACTTTTACATGCAGGGGTTTGTCTTCACTTAATTCTTACCTTGAGCTTTACCTTGGCTTGAAGACATAGCCAAAGGAGTTTCATTCTTTACTGTGCAAGAATTGTTTTCTGCAGATGATTATCCTACTGAACGTCCGTGTCTCAAATGTCTTTTAGCTTCTTGGTGCAACAGCTATTGAAGACAAACTACAGGATGGAGTTCCGGAAACTATTTCAAAACTTTCAAAAGCAGATATTAAAATCTGGGTGCTTACTGGAGACAAAAAAGGTGAGTTTGTTAACAGCCAAAGAGCTGGCAAGAATAGGATAACAGTGAGAAGAGAAACAAGGACAAAAGCAGACTTAGAATAAGGCACATTTTGTAGAAGAGCAGTATGAAAGTCCAGCTAAATCAGAACTGTGCAGAAGTTCATGCCAGCTACTCCCAAACCAGATTTAATGGATGGGTTTCTGTGCAACTTCTGTTCCCCCAAAAGGTTAGTTTTCATGAAAGATTTTGTGGTTGTCTTCTGTAGAGAAGTGCCCAGTGACTGCTTTTCTCAGTGCAAAGCAAACAAATGGCAGTTTGCTTTTAACAAAAAGCATCTTCATTGCCATCAAGTTTGTCTGGCTCTGAGGGCAGAACGCTTGCTTGCCAAATTCATCTTTTTTACAATGAGAATCTACTTTTCAAAGAAATTACAAATGCTGCTGACCAAGATGGATTTACTTTTCTTTTAGTAGTTAATATTCTGCAGTCCAGGGACACGTTTCACCAAAAGATGGCATTAAGTTTGCAAGTAAGAATGGCTGTACTACAGTCTGGATGGAGACGCAGTCAGACCAGCATCACTCGTGAATCAGGGTTAAAGATGGGGCAAGATAGTGTGGCATTCTTGCAGTGACTGATTCTTGTGCTGGCTTTGGTGTAATGACTCTCTGATATGGAGACAGCATATCCACAATCAAGTTAAATAAGTCTTGGTAGAACTTTCTTCCATGAGTTGGCTGATGGATTCTTCAGGTCACTAGCAGTTATTGCACTCAAAACATCATGTAACAATGCATTCTACCACAATAGTGTATGATTTGTAGCAAACATAGCACAGGAAATATAAAGTTGTTGACTTTAAACCTCTTATCCACTGTATCTTTATTGCTACACAGCTCTTGTTCTATGGGAAATAATTAACAAGTATTCCCCTGCTTCTCCACACTAATATATTTTTCCCTGTTCCTCACGCTGTGTGGTAGGAACACTTCATGCTGAAACATAATTTCAGAAATTACTTTTGGCTTCCTCCCAGCAGTTACTCAAGACTCAACTTAAGTAGACACTTCCCTCACTTCTATATTCATGTTTTTATTTTTATTGTAGAAACTGCTGAAAATATTGGATTTTCTTGTGAACTCTTAACAGATGAAACAACAATCTGCTATGGAGAAGATATCAGGCAAGTGAAAAACACAAAGAATTTCTTGCGTAGGAGTTAAAAATGTTCATTTTTTATAATCAGCAGTAACATTGGTTTGTCCCACGGTGGTCATTCAGCGACTGAACAACATTTGCTGGCTGTTGTTTAACTGTACACTGCTTCTTGTTTTTTTTTCTGGAATTTTAATTTTACAAGCCAACGTCTTCATTGTGGGTGAAGGTGGTAGCATTCTGGAGGAGGTTTTGAGTTCTAGTTGAACTGCTGTTGACGTTAAGCTTGTGGTAAAATTCAGTTCTGTGTCCTTGGTAGTGCAGCTGATTAAAAACCTGCAACCTCTACTTAGGTAAAACACTGATAGTGAGGGAGACAGACTTTCTGAATGGTTCTGAAGAATTTATTTTTAAGATTAGCATTTTCTAAGCTCTATGGAGAAACATGGGTTGTTAGTTGATTTTTTTTGTTTGTTTTGTTTTCTTTTTATGTAGTGGATGATTGGCTCTGCTCACTTCTGGGCTTCTCCTGGCTGTGTGTCCATGTCTGGGGTGGTCTCTACAGTGTGCTAATAAGCAACCAGATAAGTTGCTGCCATGGCCTGAAAAAAAAAAAAAAAGAAAAAAAAAAGCAAGCATGAAAGGCATTCATACTTCATTGATTTGCAGGCATTTTGAGGCACTTGATGTGGCTGGCTCGTCTCTGACAATTTCTCATCATTTAGGAGGGAGCGTTGTGCCATCAGTTTGGATGGCTTTCTGTTTTGATTCATGGTCCCGTTCCTCTGATAATCATGAGATTTTCATAAAGAGTGCTTATGAGAGCTCATCTGGGTTGGGCTAAGCAGGTCTTCTGTATTCCAAATCTTGAGTACTTGCCAGGTTTTGCTCTTGATACTTATCCTTGAACTCCAGCTGATATTTCGTGCTGCCCTATGCTCAGACAGCACAGACCTAAGCTATAAAAATATACATGTGAAGGATTGCAAGGTATTCTGAGCTTATTCTGAGCTGCCAAAATGGGCAGACCCAAGGAAAAGCTGTGTGGGGCTAGGAGAAGAACTAGGGTTGTGTAACAGAGTTGCAACCATTCCTGGCTCAGTTTTAGGAAAGTTGAGCAAAGAGAAGCCTTGCAGCAGGTCTTGCATTTTTTTCCTGCAGGTTTGCAGTCCAGAACTGATTATAGAACAATTGAAGCATAGAATCACTTAGATTGGAAAAAGTTATCAGGTCTGACCATCAGCCCAACACTGCTAAGTCCAACAGTAAATAATTACCCTAAATGCTGTGTCTGCAAACTTTATTTTAGTTCTAAGTTTAGTCTTAATTCTTCTTCTTTAATAGTGTTCACTTCTCTTCCCAGTGCTCTTCTTCAGACTAGGTTAGAAAACCAGAGGAATAGAGCTGGATCAACTACACATTCGTCTCTAAGAATGAATGAACCCTTCTTTCAGGGTGGTAGAAATCGTGCCTTAATCATCACTGGCTCCTGGTTGGTATGTATGACGAAGGATCTTGTATTTGAGACATGGGGGTGTTGCCATGTCACAATGTCCTTCCTTGGGGATTGTTCATTTGTGTTCTTTGCTAAACCAATTAATGAAAATTCTTTGGCCCTTGTTGCCACCAGCTGACCATCTCTGTTTGCAATTTATGTTCAGAAGTATTTTTAGTTTTAGAGGTTGAAAGTAGTAGTCAGCGAAGGATTGCCTTGGGATTCTCACATCACCCTGGTAGCTGCCATCAAAGTAAAACTACGCTTCTACAAAAGCACAGTGTATGTTTTAGAGTGTTTGTTCTTCGTGGGGATCCCAGTCTAATGGAACAAAATGAGAAGGGGAAGGAGATCACTGCCAGCTGTAGAGGATGCTGGGCAGTGCAAGCACAGAAATTGTGCTTGAAATGTAATACAGGAGTGAAAGCATAGAAACAAAAGACAGGTTTTCTGATCAGTCCTGCAATACGGTGCTCTTACATGGGCTTAGAAAGCAGAGAAGAGCTTTTAGCAGAAGTGACTAGCAGTAATTCAGTGACCATTACCCGCCCTGTCAGCAGGCTGCTTTTACAGACACCTGCCAAGGAGAAAGTCCATCAGAGAGCTAAGGACCGTCTGCTGCACTTCAGCATTGCAGACCTGAGCCTTTATTCTGTATAAAGAAATGAACATGTGTGTATAAGACGTGCTTCTACCTGTGTTGAACAGGTGAATTAGCTTCCATCAGAAGAAATATTCCTTTGTAGATGTGGTGTAACACTAAACCCAGGCATTTTACTTTCGTTCATCCCACCAGGTATATTCTTTCCATTTTCTCCATGGCTGTTTATTTGCTTCTCTAGACAAACATTTTAATGAGTATCTTATTAAAATGCTGTAAATGGGACACAATGAAGTTAAATGTATTGTGCATATAGGCAGCCCTTGGAGTGCTGTTTTAAAATGGTGTAGAAAGGAACATAACATTTTTGTTAAACAGAATGAAATCCTGCTAGAGAAGAAAAAGAAGAAGAAGAAGAAGAAACTTAAACTGAAATTCCCCAAAACAGAAGAAGAGAAACAAAAGCAAATTGAGAAGAAAAGAAGGGCTGAAGCTTACAAAGAGCAGCAGCAGAAGAATTTTGTTGATTTGGCATGCGAATGCAAGGCTGTGATCTGCTGTCGAGTGACTCCGAAGCAAAAAGCAATGGTGGTTGATCTTGTGAAGAAATACAAGAAAGCTATTACTCTGGCTATTGGGGACGGTGCCAATGATGTGAACATGATTAAAAGTAAGGCAGCTGTAAGACTTCTCTTGGTAGGGAATATCTTATGAGAGTTCTTCCACAGTCTCTTCTCTATTTCTGTTTGTTCAGAAGACTCTGCCATCTGTTCCATTACCCAAATTAACATTTCTTGAGTCCTTGTTAGCTTCTGTGACTGTGCTTTCCCTTTTTGAGAAGACCCTTTGTGAAACGGTTCGTGCTTTTTGGTGATACGTTTTAGCTTTTTATGTAGACAGTCTGTGAGAAGGGATTTGATTTACATCTGTTACCGTGTTAAGGATTGCAGAAGTGTAACATTACCAAGACAAAAGGATAGCTTAGATGCACCTTGCTCTGTGGCATTAGCCTCCTGTATTGCAGCTGGCACTCTGAAACACTTCCTGAGGAATTCCATTGAAAAACAAACGTCTGGGATGTGGTTCATGTTAGGAAGTCTGTAACTGCGTGGCCAGTTGGCTCGGCTTTATTCGCTCTGTCTCATCACTTATTTGTCTTCTCAGCCAAATTTGCCTGTATCCATTCTGACAGAACAAACATGGAGAGAGGATCCAAATAACAGTGAAGATGCGAGCACTAAATAACAGGGCAAGGAAGAGCATATGCACTGTTGCGTTAATCTTTAACGAAGCCTTTGTGCTTTATGCAGAAATAAAGTGAGGCTGGAGAATGTGAAGCAGAGAATCAGAACTGGTGAAAGATTTGCTCTTGGTCCTGTTGTGCCTCTCTCCTTGTTTAGCAATATATTGTTGTATTTGTTTCATTAACTTAGCTGCCCACATTGGAGTTGGGATCAGTGGCCAAGAAGGGATGCAAGCTGTCATGTCCAGCGATTACTCCTTTGGGCAGTTCCGCTACCTGCAGAGGCTGCTGCTGGTCCACGGGCGATGGTCTTACATTAGGATGTGCAAGTTCCTAAGATATTTTTTCTACAAAAACTTCGCTTTCACGCTAGTCCACATCTGGTATTCATTCTTCAATGGCTTTTCTGCCCAGGTAAGAAGGCATGCTCGTGTCTAGTGCTAACAGGCAGGTCTTACTTCTTATTAGTGCAGAATAGTAAACGCTTAGCCTGGGAGGTGCTGGGAACCCAAAATTAGCATCAATAATTAGTAATAATAATTACCGAACTGCTTACCTCAAGTGTTACTTCAGAACACATAAAATAAATATCATGATTGTCCAGGGAAGAAAAAAAAGGAAGAGATGGTTAAACAGTAGTTTGGGAAACCTCTCTTAACCATTCTGCTTAAAGTATTCCTAGGTGAAAAGAAGCAATGCATCTATTTATCAGTAAAAAACCAAAACTGTTTTTTTAAATCTTGAGCTGCCGGTTAGAATGGTTTGGAATGTGCTCATTGTAAATGGTAGTGCTTGAAATTCACATGCTGTTGAAAGGCTGTACTCGTCTGTGTGCCAGAAAGCCTGTGAGAGATGAGATGCATCTCCATGAGCTTAAGCAAAATGGTAAACAGAGACGTGTGATATAGTGGTATAGTGGGCCAGATTTATATTCTAAAGTATTAGAATGAAAATCATAGAAAAGGTGAATTAAAAAAGGTAATCATTAGCTATTTAAATTCTTCCTTCTTTTCAGACAGCATATGAAGACTGGTTCATCACGCTGTACAATGTGCTGTATTCAAGTCTCCCAGTTCTGTTAGTTGGCTTGTTTGACCAGGTATTCTCCACACTGTTAACAACAGATTGATCCAAAGGCATTCAGCATTGAGTTTCAAGTTGCTTTCGTTTATGCAGAAGGAATTTTTTTCTTAACATGTATTCTGTACAGCATGTGAGGTAGCAAAAGACAATAAGGAGAGTGCTACTGAAGTAGCTAAAGTCAATCAGTTCTGAGGTCTTCAGTGCCAGTGCTGCTTGTTAAAAATACGTTCTGTTACTTCATGTACACAGTATAGCAAGAACTTTTATCAGTGGAAAAGATACACCTTGTGCAGCTTTTTTTAATGCAATAGAACAAGTGCTGTTGGCCCTCTTCACCTTTTTATCAATGCAAGAGTTACCTGCTGATACCAAACAAATCAATGTTTGTGTTTACATCTAATACAAAAGTTAAGAAGTAAGTTTAGTATCAAATTAACCTCTCATTTGAGAATATGCTAGAGAACAGAAGTCAGGATATGCAATGGTAGTCTTCTGCTTATTCACAGTGTAGGGGAAAAACTCCAACACAATTTGTAGCTGAAAAGCCCTACACAAATGTGGATGTTCTTGTCCCTGCAAATAATGGGATGAAAACTGAGAAGCATGGAGTCATAGGTAGTCTTAGGTTGAAAAAGAATAGCTTTGCTAGAAGCTCTAGTCTTGTTTCTTCCTACTTGCATGCATGACTTTGTGGAAAGTTTGGCTGCCTGCACAGATGTTAGAAAAGAAAAATAAATCTGCCATTTGAGGGGGGGCATTATATTGTTGAATTTCTTACTCTCTGAAGTTCACACTTAGAACAAGGAATTGCTGCAACTTTTCATTTTTGTTCCATTATTAAGGATGTGAGTGACAAATTGAGTCTTCGATTCCCAAGATTGTATGTTTTGGGACAGAAAGATTTACTTTTCAATTACAAGAAGTTCTTTAGAAGTTTGCTTCATGGAGCTATAACTTCACTGGTAATCTTCTTCATACCATACGGAGCTTACCTTCAAACTATGGGGCAAGATGGAGAAGCACCTTCAGATTATCAGTCATTTGCTGTCACAGCAGCAACTTCTCTTGTGTTTATTGTCAACCTTCAGGCAAGTAAGCTTTAGCTTCCTTACTTCTCTTTTCTGTTTGCTCTGAAAACACCTTCTGGTCATGTTTCTAATTTTGTTTACTAAAGCAAAACAATTTGCAAACGTTTTCGTTTGCTTGCCTTTTTGCTTCTCTGTTGACATCATGTATCTTAGGCTGAAGTGTAACTGAATGAGAGAAAACTTAGCATTATTTGTCCTGTCATTGCTTTTTGAATTAATAAACTCACTTGGAGCTTTTGTTTTCTTTCAGATTGGTTTGGATACATCTTACTGGACTTTCGTTAATGCCTTCTCAGTATTTGGGAGTATTGCAATTTACTTTGGTATCACATTTGACTTCCACAGTGCAGGAATCCACGTTCTCTTTCCTTCTGCTTTTCAGTTCACAGGTGAGTGCTTTGTGTGTCTTACCCTTTGTTTGGAGTTCTTCTATTTTTAGGAAAACCAAGTTTTGTAATTTTCTAAAATCTTTTGTATCTTGCCTCAGATCTAAATATCCTCAAAAGAGATAACATACCCCCTCAATTTTATGTCCATTTGAAAAAAGGTAGTTGCCTCTAACATAATTTTTTTTTGACCTTTAGTAATGTTCTAGACTTCTGTAAATACTTCCTACCTGGATATTTTATGCGTGTTTAAAGATACAGCTGCGACTTAGTTTGACAAAAGTTCTGTGAGATTGGCTGTTTGGCATTTGTACAAAAATATCACTTGCTTTGCAGACCAAGCCTGTAGCAGTGATACCAGGAGAACTTCTTGCTTTGTATCTTTTAAAGCAGAACAAAACCCTTGCCTCTCAGCCAGGCATTTGTCTTGCAGCATCCCGTAGCTCTTAGAGGAGTTTTGACATGGGTATGGATAAATTGTAATAGAAGTGCTGCAATAACTTTGTATTATTTTGCTTATTTATTTTGGAGCCTCTGAATAAAAGCTGAAAGTTACGCTGCACAGCTCAGTGCCTGGGTGCTAGCTTCGCAGGAAAGAAGCTGTGGCACTCATTATCTTATTTGTGTTGTGTAGCTACTTTCCACGATCACATCATACACTACATTCTGCTCCTTTTATTCCTAGGAACTGCTCCAAACACTCTGAAACAGCTGTACCTCTGGCTGACCATGGCTCTAACAATCGCTGTTTGCTTACTCCCTGTGGTGGCACAGCGTTTCTTATCCATGACAATTTGTCCTTCAGAAAGTGATCGAGTGAGTAACGTCTCATCTTTGGCACGTATTTACCTACAGGCATCAGCATTGGTGCTAATATGAGACAAGCCAGGAGGCTGCTGTGCTCTCCAGGGGCTGGCTCAGGCCTGCCTCCAGCTGTGTGACAAACACTGCCTTACTTCAGCATGCTGTTACATCCCTCATGTGCCTCTCTGTAATGCAGACGTACATGCAGCATCTCAGCCTACGGATCAGTGAAACTGATCAGTGGCTAACCTGTCCTTTGGCTTGGCATAGCACTTCTCCTTGTAAAACCACAGAAACCTGCTTTGAGGTTACTGACGGCACAGCTTCTCTTGTTATTTGCACTGTTTTGGAGTGTCAGTGATGTGTCATGGTATAGTGGCCAATTTTTGTTTATTCTGCCTTGAGCTGGCAAATTGCATGTGAGTTTGCAATAGTTAATATTGCAGTTATGTCTAAAAAGATATAAGGTGTTAGTGTGAGGAGTCAACTCTTTGAAAGGGTGGATAACAGCAGGACAAGGGGAAACGGTTTGAAGTTGAGGGAGGGGAGATTGAGGTTGGATGTCAGGGGGAAGTTTTTCACAGTGAGGTGCTGGAACAGCTGCCAGAGAGGCTGTGGATGCCCCGTCCATCCCTGGAGGTGTTCAAGGCCAGGTTGGATGGGGCCCTGGGCAGCCTGGGCTGGTATTGAATGTGGAGGTTGGTGGTCCTGCCTGCAGTGAGGAGATTCGTGGTCCTTGAGATCCCTTCCAACCCGGGCCATTCTGTGATTCTGTGTGAGAACACAAGAATAGCTTTCAATCAGTGCATCTTCAATTCGCTTTAATGAAAGACATTCCAAAAATAAATGAACATAACGAAGTGCAAAACGATGCAGTAGGTCATTCTGAAACTTTCATGCGTTTCTGCATTTATTCTTGTTTTCTAACAGAATCAAATTTAAAGAAGAGAACCTTCCTGCTAAGCAGTTTCTGTTAAAGTATCAGGTTGTTTCCCCCCTTAAAAAAAAAAAAAAAAAAAGTCATTTGCCTTACAACCCACAAACTGATTTCTCTTTGCGTGCACGCAGATCCAGAAGAACCGTAAGAAGTACCTGGCAGAAGAGGAGCAGTGGCAGCGGAGGCAGAGTGCTTTCCGCAGGGGGGTGTCTGCCCGGCGCTCTGCCTACGCCTTCTCCCACCAGAGGGGATACGCCGACCTCATCGCCTCGGGGCGCAGCATCCGCAAGAAGAGAGCTCCGCTGGATGCAGTGCTGGGCAGCACCACAGGAGGCACAGGAGCTGCTGAAACAAGCTGATTCACTGCAGTTCCGGAGAGGTTTCTTATCCAAATGACTGCACACACACACACACACAGAATATTAAACTCAGGATATTTTTTTTAAACAGAGTGGCATAAGGATATCTGATTTTTGTGCTTTAGAACAACTTCAGTTTGCTGGAAGCGTGGAAAAGCCAACAACGTCCTCCAGAGCTCCTAATCCTTTTGCAGCTGTGTAATGTGAAACTGAATGATGGGTGTGCTGCAGTATGAAAAGGGCAATGTGGCGACACCTGGAATCGAAAACTTTCTTCCACGTTTTTAACATTATGTTGGTATAAAATTGCAGCTACATTTCATATTGACTCTGAAAACAAATGGCTAAGCAACAGTTGACTCTGCGTGCACCATTTTGTTACGTTTTATGGGGATAAAGACTCAGGGGTTGATCGCTCCTGAGAGAGACATGGACACTGTCGCCTGAGCTGTACACATCTGGTGACAAACCTGTAGTCAGTGTCAGACTGAGGTGTTCTGATGCTTGCAGGTGTTTCTGTTTGTTGTTATTCCTTCGGTGTCTAACTGCAGCTCGCTGCACGGCATGGAGCAGCTCTCCTTGCACCTTGTTGTACAAGAGCTGTGCCACAATGCCTTGCACAGCTCATTCCTTGAATTTGCCTGCAATGAAGAAATCCAAATCCATCATTACAGGTCTGTTTCTCACTTGCTGTCTTTCTGCTCAGCTGTGTAGATGTCTTGTTTCTCACGCTGTGTGTTTGTTAATGGATGGCTGTCCCAGGAGCACTGCCCTTAGCTGGCACTTTGCTCTTTTTGGTTTTAGGTACAGCTGTTACCATTACAACCTGAAAATGGCTGCTGTAGGAAAGGTATCACGTACCATTCTTGCAGTGTACAAAGTGTTTTGTGATCTCTGTGCTTGCAGGTGTGTTCCCTCGTGTGTATGAATGTGCAGCTGTTATCTACTGCTGCCTCCGGCTGAGGACGATTCCTCCAATGCTTTTATAATGAAAATCGTGGTACACAGTTATTGTCCAAAGGAATGTACATTTCAAACATGTGATGCAAATAAACGCAGTGAAGTTTTCAGCTTCTCTTCTATGAGGCATATGGGTATCAGCGGGTGAAGCTGGGGCAGTCTGCAGTGAGAGGGCATGCAGCCCAGGGGCAGGGCTCCTATTCCCATCTGCAGCAGCAGGAAATCTTAGCATTTAGCTCAAGAAAAAAATCAAAGCAGACGCTAAAACAAAGCAAAACATAAGTAATTTCTAAGTTTGATAATAACCTCTGAAGGTGTAAATAGTGCTGGGAAATAGACAGCTACTGGAAACACAAATGTGGCATTTTGTAGCTAGCTAAGCCAACAAAGGCAGCTGCTGGGCTTTCAGGGCTGTACTTTCTGATAAGGCATTTCTGTACAAGGCCTGTTGGAGGCGGAAGTTAATTATGAGCAGTAAGATCCATCCGTCGTTCCTGTGACATTGCAGTGGCTAAACACTTTGTTGTCACTACCATGTTACAGTTGTTCACTTTAAAAGGATTTCTAGAGATCTCTAGTCCAGTCCAGGGCTCAGAAGAGAACCAGAGCTCCAGTGTTTGGCGCATGGAATACACCCAAGAATGGCAATCCCACACCCTCTCTGTGTCTCTGTTATAATAGCTGAGTACCCTCAGGGTAAAATATTTCCCCTAGTATCTCATAGAATTTGCTTATTGTAACTCACGTCCCTTCCTGCTTGTCCTACTGCCAAGATTTAGTCTGTGTTTATTATTTCTTATAGCTAAGTTGGATAAGTAAACATGAGTGTGTTACTGCTGCTATTCCAGCACAAATAAGTGGAAGGGTTCTTCTTCAGATGGAGTTATTTAGAATCAACTTTTTAAAGGTATTTTTGTGCAAAAGTACAAAAAGTACAAATTTGAAGCCAAAATCACCTTTGTCTCCAGAACCTACAGATATTTTTTTTTAGGAAGCTGGCAGACGGTGGCTTTAGACCAGATATTAAGAAGAAATTCTTTGCTATGAGGATGGTGAGACACGGGAGCAGGTTGCCCAGCAAGGCTGTGAATGCCCCATCCATGGAAACACTGAAGGCCAGGCAGGATGGGGCTGTCAGCAGTCTGATCCACAGGGAGGTGTCCTTGCTTATAGCAGGGGGTTGGAAATAGGTGATCTTAATGGTTCCTTACAACCTAAACCATTCCCTTCCACGATTCTGATAGGCAGAAAACCCCAAGAAGAGAGTTAAACCTCCGGTTAGAACACGTGTGGCAACCCGCGTGCAAGAGAGTGGGCGGGGCTACGCGAGTGGGCGGGGCTACGCGAGGGGGCGGGGCTGACGCGAACGGCGGCGCTTTGGCGCAGAGCGACGGAAGCGAGGTGCGGCTATTTCCGGTCTGCGGCTATGGCGGGGGAGGTGATCGGCAGTACGGCGGCTCTGGCGCTGGGTGAGGCGGCGGGGCAGTCGGGGAGGTTGGGGCGGTCGGGCACTCAGCAGAAGATGTTGGGGGCCGCCTGGAGCCGGTGTCGCGGGGCTTCTCGGAGCTTCTCGGAGGATCGGCCCGCGGAGGCCCGTCCATGCCGGCCCCGAGCACGCGCTGCGATGGGGCGGCACGGCGCCCCTGGGCGCGGCCTGGTCTTGGCATGTGAAGAATTCGGCTCTTGGAAGGGAAAATTGTCACAGCTGCGCCAAATACGGTGACTTTGTGTGGGGCGCAGTGGAACCCTGCCGGCGGCTGCGTCATGGCAGAGTGTCACGCACGCAGCTCAGCTTTTTTCAGGTTAGAACTGTTCTGCGTTTAAGTAAGAAGAAAACAGACAAGAGTTGGGCAAATAACGCGTTTCTGTCCAACCCATGACTTCAAACGCGGATTTTGGCAGTTCACGGGGAACAAAGAACAGAGCGTATGTCTGTGGATGACTATACGTGCTCAGTTATCTATCCCTATATCTACACACACATAGGTACAGCTGTAGCTGTGTGCATAAAAGCAGATGTATACAGGGGGCCTTGGTGTGCTGTGATCCCTGCAAACTGAAACCAAACCATGGAACCTTGGACACAAGGGTTCATTCTGCTCTGCCCTCGTGAGGCCCCATCTGCAGTACTGCATCCAGGTCTGGAGCCCTCAGTGCAAGAAAGACAGCTGTTGGAGAGGGTCCAGAGGCGAGCCACATTGATGATCAGGGGACTGGAGCACCTCCCCTACAAAGACAGGTTGAGGGAGCTGGGCTTGTTCAGCCTGGAGAAAAGAAGGCTGCAGGGTGACCTCATTGTGGCCTTTCAGTACCTAAAGGGAGCCTACAGACAGGAGGGGAATCAACTCTTTGAAAGGGTGGATAACTGCAGGACAAGGGGAAATGGTTTGAAGTTGAGGGAAGGAAGATTGAGGTTGGATGTCAGGGGGAAGTTGTTTGCTGTGAGAGTGGTGAGGTGCTGGAACAGCTGCCCAGAGAGGCTGTGGATGCCCCGTCCATCCCTGGAGGTGCTCAAGGCCAGGTTGGATGGGGCCTGGGCAGCCTGGTCTCGTATTGAATGTGGAGGTTGGTGGCCCTGCATGTGGCAGGGGGTTGGAGATTCATGATCCTTGAGGTCCCTTCCAACTTGGGCCATTCTGTGATTCACACTGCAGCAGTAGGCACGTGGGCAGGGCTGTGGGCCGCACAGGTCTCACTCTCTGGTGTTTGCTGGCAGAGGGAGGGAGGTTTTTCTGTCTCTTTAGTGATGCAGTTGTTAGCTGTGCTTGAGCCAAATGCTGGCCTGAGCTGTCTGAGCTTTCTTAGCTTGTTCCTGCCTGCCTAGAAGTTAGTTAGTTGTAAGAAGGCAGCTCCATCAGACCTGGTGTGCATCCCTGGGTGTGTCTGTTTTTCACTTGTCCTTTACCATTGCTGATTTTTCGGTTTTTCCTTGAGTAACTGCCTGATATTTATGATGTGTTACAGAAGAGTTGTATGTTTCTGAACGAGAAGGCAACGATTCCTCTGGTGATGGAACGCAGAAGAAACCATTCAAAACTGTTTTAAAGGTAAGTGCAGCAAATACACTCTTTTATCTGAGCGGGGTGAGCATTTTCAGCTCTGACCAAGAGCTGCATTGTCTGCTTAGTCTCTCTAACAGAATTACTTTAGTTCACTTGCAGCACCACTGATTTTTTTTTATCCCTCACATTTTTAGGCTTTGATGACAGCAGGAAAGGAACCATTTCCTACTATTTATGTGGATTCACAGAAGGAAAATGAGGTACTGCAACGTTTGAACTTCCTAATATAAATTGTTTTAAAGTTTCTTTGCGTGAAGGGCCACAGTTGTAACCTTCTGTCTTCTGCTCTCTGCTTGGATTGATTTAGAGATGGGCCATTATTTCAAAGTCACAGATGAAAAATGTCAAAAAACTGTGGCATAGGGAGCAAATGAAGAATGAAGCAAAGGAGAAGAAAGAGGTAGGTTGCGAGTGGTGCCAAGTTGGAGGAAGTAGCTTGTTCAGGGAGTAGATTTAGTAGCTTGGGAACAGTGGTAATGGGAGGAGGGTTGAACAAGATGATCTTGTAGGTCCTTTCCAACCTTGTGATTCTGTGATTCAAGCATGCTGCCTTTCCTTTGCAAAAACAATAGATATCATTAGTGTTGTTTTCCCCGTGCCATAAGCATTAGTTTGTTCTTCACCTTTATAATTGCTGTATGTATGATATTTACGGCTTGTCCTTGTTTAGATGGGGGCAAGCAAATGGGTGAAACTGAGTGAGCTTTGAGTTACCACCATCTGTTGGGTTTAGGCTTTCTGGGAAAAACCAGAAATGCTGCTGTGCAATGTTTCTCATTCTGGCCTTGAATTAAGGGCAGGCCTGTGCACCAGCATTTTATGACATCAGTATTTGTAAGTGTACATTACAGTCCCTACTTACAAAGCTTGGTCACAATTGCTTAATATTTTCTTCTTCATCTCAACTAGGCAGAAGATCTACTGAGAAGAGAGAAGAACCTGGAGGAAGCCAAGAAAGTTGTTATCAAGAACGATCCCAGTCTTCCAGAACCAAAATGTGTGAGTAAGATTTGGGATGCTTGGTACATGGCTCTGTTTCAGCATGTTGTCTGCACAAAGGTTGGTTCTCTGCTCTGTAGTTCTGGCATCTGCTAGAGGCTGCTGTTGGCCTCCTAACATAATTTCATTTTTCTGGTTACTGATATATTCCGGTATACAGACTTGGGTCTTCCCACCCAATGGGTATCTGAACTGTTTTGATTCATGCATCAGGCTATTTTGTGTCAGTATCTGCTGGCAGAGGCTGTATTTCTGTTTGGATTAGTTTTGCTTTTGCAAAACTGGTCATTGTAGTGGAGAGTGATGAAACACTGCTGATCAGAGGACATAATTTAAGTCACTGAGGCATGGAAAACAGTTCCTGTTTGCTGTTTGCAAAGTTCTGCTGCTTTTGGGGATTTGTTGCCTCAGCTACACATCTGGATATGCCTCTGTCAGGTCCATGTTTGGTGCCTTCTGCTTCTTTTCTATCTGTTCTCAACTATTAAATGTCTTCAGAAATTAATCCAGAGAGATATACTCACACTTCAGACTGCAGGAGAAGGTGTTTGAGGCACCCTTTCTAAATTTTCTGCTGATTTAATTGCATCTGTGATGGCAGTTACTATTTTGTGGAGGAAGATGTCACACACACATGTACTTAAAGTAACTGTGTAGAAAACTCCATCTAAGTAGTGAGCTGTGTTCCTCTATTTGATTGTTTCCATTCCTTGTTTTACAGGTAAAGATTGCTGCTCTGGAGGCTTACAGAGGCCAGAGAGTAAAGATTTTTGGCTGGATTCACAGATTACGTAGGCAAGGTAAGCCACAAGTTCTTGTAAGGTGCCAAACCTTTGCAGAGAGGTGGAACAAATTCAGTAGCCATCAGAGCTCACATTGAATAAAACAATGCTTACTCTTAAGTTTTCAGACTGTCATGTATGTGGCCTTGTTGGTATATCATACTGATCAGTCCAACGTTGACAAATTCTGCATATTGTATGAGGATGCAGACAATTCTTAGTCAAAAATTTTTGAGATATTGGATTTGGAGCTCTGTCCTACAACATTTCTTAAAAGACT